GAGAGATAATTAGAACAAGAAATCTGGTCAGGAAAATACATTATGTTCACTTTACAGAATAAAAGCGTAGGCCTCCATGTTCAGCCCTCACCGGGGAGCATGCTTGTTAATAAGCAATGCTGGCGTTTATAGCTAAATGTGGGACGTTTAATTTCCATCTCTTTTCTTTGCAATGATTGCTTTTATATGCCACCCAGCGCTCATTTTCTAAGCTGTCAGAGTCTGATATTATCCAGCGTGCCTTGCAACTTTCCCTCAGAGAGATATCAATTTCTTAATTAGTTTTACTGCAGCTTTGAGAGCTTTCCCTCCCTTATTTAGCGATCCACTGGGTGAACGTTTACTATTGCTAAAGAATTCATATTGCCAGTTGCACTACCATCTGCCCAGGACCCATCATGATTCCATGGTTGGGTTCTATGCCGGGTTATTAACTTGGAAACAGGTCTTTTGTTCATTGGCATTTTAATTTTGGAGCCCTTAGTAATTGAGTAACAGGGGCCCATCATGTAGCACAAAAGAAAAAGAATGAGCATGCAGAGGCTGAAAATTCCCATAAGCTGTCAGGAAAGCGGGGGTGAAGGAGACCCACTCGCTTCTATTGTTCCAACACAAAACATTGAAATTGTGTTTCTGTTGGACCTGCTTTTTCTCACTACTCGACTGAAATGAAAAGGCGATCTCACCAAAAAGAACACTTTTATTAATGCCAAGTTAGCTGTCAACTTGTCAAGAAAGTGTAGCAGTCCTCTTAGGTCATGTGAATTGTATTTATTCAAGGAGATAATAATGATATTTCACAATTTTCAAACAGTACAGCAGTAAAGTGGACATATAGGCTATTTAAATGCCAAGCCGTATATTTAGCTGTGTTTAACCTGTCTAGTGCTCATAAAAGTGCACATTGTGCCTTTTTTCACAGGTTTGAAAATGTGATACATCGAATGGTCTTTGTCATGATCTATACAAGAAGTGAACATGTGTAGAACCCAGCATATTTTACTGCAATGAAGTGTATCTTTATGAAGCTTATAATATGCAGTACTTCCTGTCAGAAAGTCGTCAAATCATAAGGCCAAAATGTGCAGTAAAGTGTCCATATTGAGTCTGCACATAAGTCATTTATGATTTTAAAATGGGGTGATTTTTTGTATCTGTATCTACATGAATGACCTGTACAGTGTATTGAGTGTATTCTTATCCAAAAACTACATATTTTTGGTTGCGTTGACATAATGCGTAAAACACAGCTCAAATATTTATATTTTTAATATACGGATGCAAATAGTGTCAAATATAGTTGTATTGCCATGATGCATTTTGGACACTGTTACAAGCAGAAGTCAGAAGGCCTGCTTGAAGGTAGTGCTGAGCAAAGTGTGGGCTGATTAGACCGTTTTCTTCTGTGATCTGCTGTGATTCACTTCACTATTTTCCAGTGGATATGGAGCCTCAGATTGCATTAACCAACACACCCCTTATCTCCATTCGCTGCCTGGTGGAGCTCCAGCTGGGTGCTGCTGTTTCCTTTACCATTTGTGTTGGCACAGGGAACGGCAGCTCCATGGCCCGGGAGCACCGCTCTCTCTTCAAAACAGGATGAGCACACTGCTCTCTGATGCTCACTGGAGACAAAAAACAAACCAACGAGGGTCCAGAGGCTTGAGGCACGAAGCTGAGGAAGATGATAACAGGAGATTTTAGCCGGTGTGCAAACCCTTCTCTGCACATGGCGTCGTCTAGATAGTTCCTAATGCTACAGTTTTTCTTTAACACTAAATACAGCATTGATAAGTTATTGATTAACAACAATAACTTGTCCAGGTGTGGAGATTCCTGGATTTTAACTTAGAACCACAGTTCCTATAAATGTAGAAATCTGTTGTTGTTGTTGCAATCCCTTGATAACAACAAACGTTGATCTGGATACCAGATTTTTTTATGTCAATTTAAATTGTCAAAGCACATGTTTCTATTTTCAGCAGTTGTTTTTGTTTTGCCATTCGAAATAGCAAAAGGTTACTCTGACCTGGAAGCTTTAGGCAGGTCATTTCAGATTTTGTGGATTTCAACCAAGCAAGAAACATTCCTGGCATCTACCACAGAAATGAGCTCCTATTGTAGGAGAAAACCCTGGAAGAAAACAGTTTTATGTGCGCCGTTATTTAAAAATAGCTTTACAAAAGTATAAACCATGTATTTATCAGGCCCAACAAGTACTTTGACTCTGCTTATGAATAGCTAACACTCATATGACTTTAACGGTGACCTTTCGTGTACTCTGACTGTTTGTCTTTCTTTCCAATGAAACCCAAAAAATAAACAAGGGCAGATGAAAAGGTGCCCTGCTGTCAGAGGTGGGCCATGTTTCCGAATTGTCGCTCCTCGTTAGCTGATGATGGGCTGTCTCCAAGTTGGACAGCTGCAGTCACCGAGGCGGAGGAAAGGCATGCACACACACGCACACACGCACACACACACACAGGCAGGCAGGCAGACATACATCTGCTGGCATGTCCGTGCCCTCTCTGATCTCTGACGCCAGCCATCACCGACTCTCTCTCTCTCTCTCTCTCTCTCTCTCACACACACACATTTATATGTATGCGTAGACACAGGCAGAGCAACCCCAGGGTGGTTTTGCACGAGAGCAGGGGGGTGGGGGGGTCAGTGGTTGCCAAATGGAAAAAAGCTGCAGCTTCTGTGAAAGGGGATACAGAACTGAGTTGACTTCATCTCTGTGACACACGATGGAGGGACTCCACAGCCGGCTTGTTTTGTTTTATTCTTGTTTTGTTAAAGAAACTCTGTTTAACTTAATCTGATGGATGAGGTGGAGTCCAAGCCCACTTCTCCAGATGAGACTTTGGACAGCTGAGGCTAAACAATTGTGCGGTAGAGATGTGGAGGAGGAGGGGGGGGATCTAAAATATTTGTTCTATTATATTTCCTGAGATGAACTCTGCTCTCAGCCATGCCAGGAATGTGCCCAGTGTGCCCACCCATCCATTAACCTGTCCAACAACCCTCCATTGTCTGGAGGAAACAAAACACTTCATTAAAAGTGCTGTGAAGACCCTCAGAGGCTCTGAGCGTCAGAGTCAAGACCCCCGCAGACAATTTCATATTACAACTTTAATACATTATTGTGTTTTCTGCATAACCGTGACAACTATTTGGCATCGAGTCGTTTAATACAGTTATATTTATTCATGTTGTGTATGAGAAGTTTACTGTCCATTTTATTTGCCATTCTTGTTTTTTGACTTATTTGTTAAATGTCAACCGTGACCATTATTTTCTTAAATATATTTACTGTTGTGTCTTGTTTTTATTATTACCTCTAAATGTGTGTAGGCTATATATATATATTTGTGTCTATGTATGTATATATAAATATATATATTAATGTGGGTGTAAAGCCTTATAAATACAGTCTATGGTGTAAAGGCTTGTATGTATGCAGTGGCGGCGCCAGAGATTTTCTCTAAGGGGTGCTGTGGGGTCCAGCGCTACAGTTGAATTTTCTACTGCAACACTCCCCACACGCACACACAGTGCACCGATAATGCAGTGCTCGATAATCAGCTCACGGCATATAGGTGTAAGCAGGGGTAAAGTGCTATTTTTACAAGTGGGGAGTGGACCTCACCTCCTCTAGGAGGGTTCTCACCTCCTCTAGTGGGGTCCGGGGGCATGCTTCCCCGCGAAGATTTTTTTTAAAATATTGAAGTTAAAAGCATCAATCTGGTGCACTTTGAGAGCAAAATGAAGAGATCTATGGATACATCTCTCAACATACATATGAAACACAACTGTAAACAGATTTACTATTTCTTTATAGATATTTTACAAATCACTCCCCTTTTAAAACAAAACGTTTGAGACCCACTGCGATAACTAGACTAAAGTTAACTATCTAAACACTGAGAGAGTCCTTTACTTCACCTGAGCTGAGGTTATCTGAGACTCTCAGTCTGACAGGAGAGAGTTCTCCCTCCACCTTGTTGTTGAAAAAGCTCCTTATATCCGTTAGCTTGGCTAGCTAGCACCAGATGCTAACCACAACGATCTCCGGTAGATACCCACTCGGTCGCTCTGCGCACGCACACAAATGGCTCGTGCCACACACACAGAGCAGAGCTTGAATGAAACACAGAGACCCAGAAGTAAGCTACTTGTACTCACGAGGCCTATTATGTGCAGAATCCCTCTCGCTTTCAGGTGGTTTTGATTGAGTGTCCACACGTGGACGTTTAAGGACTAAAAAACGATCCATTTTTCACTTTGGTGTTAGCAAATAATTTGGCGCTCCAGCTAACAGGAAGTCACTCAAGTGTCACAAAGTAATTTAGCCTATGGGTAGGTCAAAAATCTAATGGGTGCTGGCCATTGGCCTAATCATATCACCTCTGTTGGCTTTATGTTTTTGGTCAACATTAGTTTGTTTCACATTTGCATTGATGTAATCAATAATTTTTCTGATTTAATTTAATAAAAATAATAATAATTTTCAAAAAAAAACGAAAAAAAAAAACACATTTCTTGGGGGTGCTTTGGCAATTCTGAGGGGTGCTTCAGCACCCCCTAGCTCCCCCCTGGGGCCGCCCTGTATGTATGTATATACACATGTATATATTTCTTTTTAAATATTCGTATTCTCTGGGATGGTGAGAAACAGAATTTCAATCCCCTTGTCTCTGTTACAAAAATAGAGGAACTGAGAATTATGTTGACTTATGTGTATTTCCGCTGAGAAACATGCCTGTGTGCAATTCATCCAATAAACAAAACGTTTTTATTTGTTTTTTTACGAATTATTTTGTGTATTTTAAGCACACAGCTGTTGTTGACATGAACAGCAAGAAATTACAACCAGAAGAAAATTAAAAATAGTTTATTATCTTCTAGTTGCAACAGCCATATGAACATGTGTTATGTGATTAATTCAAATCGGATTTGAGTTGGCTAAACAAACAACAAACAGCTGCTTCTGATCATCAAAATAGCTTTATTATAAAAGTTACTTCATAGACAGTTGGTTTACATGAAGCTCATGTCAGAGGTGAAGTGTTTGAAACATGGGAGAGCATGTGAGGGATGATTTGTTCTGGAAACAGTTTTGTTTGAGAACGTTTCTACAACACTTTAAACACACCTGCTCAGAAAGACTGTTCTAACATTTAATTATCTGGCTTTCAGTGCCTACAATATCTCACCTTGGTGCCAAACTCAAGGTTCCTTTTAACTTGAGGCCTACGCAAATGTATCATCAGCACTCAGCACCCTTCAGACGGGCATCCATTAAAAATGTTGAAAACTTCACGGCCAAGGAACAATCAAATGATTGCTTGTTTAAAAATGACATATTCCAGACCTTTTAGGTGCCGTGAAGATTCCAGGTGCTACAGACAGAAATGTGCAAGTTTGATGGCCTGTGAAATGCTACATTGTTAATCACACTTTCATATTTACGATTTGGAAAATGTTGAGTCTTGTGCAGGAGCAAAACCTCCAAATGTTATGCCAACCAACAGGTTCATCAATCAAAGCCGATAGCTTAGTTCTGCACGTACAGAACAGACGTCCATGTCCATAACAAACACCAGCATGGAATAAAAGAGTGAACTGATTAGAGAGGTGAGAACTTGGTCAAGTCCTTCTTCTTTTCGTTGTACGTGGTGCTCAGTTGTCCGACTGCCTTGGCGTGCTCCTCGTCCACCTCCTCCTTTAATCTCTGCTGCTCCTTCAGAAACTCTGCCCACTCCTCCTTCAGACGCTCCATGCTCCCCTGCAGCTGGGTGCTCTGGAAGGGAAAAAGAAGAGGAGAGTTAATGATGTTTATCTAAACTGCCCTTCTTTTATATTTCTGTATATGCTGAATAACGCCGGGCAGTGTATGGGGCTCTGTGTCGCCTACAGGTGCAATCATAGAGAACATAATATCATAAATGTGGTGGGAATCTTCAATCCAATCTATTTTTCATGGCTATGTAAATGTAAACACCTGCTATGATTCTTTTGCCTCGAGTTGTTTTTACCTGCTGGGCCTCTAGCTCCCTCTGCTGGACTCTCTCCGCCATGTGATTTGCAGCATCCACTGTGGAATAAAGGCAAAAAGCATTTTAATATTTATATTCCACATTGTCATTTACTCTAACTCTAAACATGTATATATTTAAATGTGTTTATTGTGATTGTCTAAGAAGGTTTCTTGTGTCATAGGGATTCAAAACAATTAATTACCATTACATGAAACTGTTCATTTGCAAGTTAACATAATTTTAACTGAGTATGTCTCTGCCCTGTGGCTTAAGCTAACAAATATTTTCATTATAGTCATTATAATCTGCATATTTATCTACATTAATCGTTGATTGTTTTTTCTAGAATTGTCAGAAAATGTATCCATCCAAGTTTCTCAAAGTCCAAGGAGATGTGTTTAAATGTCTTGTCATGTCAGTCCAAAACCCAAATATATGAAGTTAAATATGATATAGAACAGATTGGATGATTAGAAGTCAGCTGAGGCATTCAATTGACACAATGTTAGCACAATTTACAAGATGAAGTGTGAATCTGAGAGATGAGACTCACATCGCGTAAACACATTGGACAGCATGCCCTCCAGATCTGTAGGCAGCATCTGCTCATTTGTTTCCGTAACTATTTTATTGAGGTTCTCCAGCAGTCTGCTCTCCCTGTGTCCACGCTTCTCCTAAAACACAAGAGGAAAGTGTTAGCCATACATAATAACATTGACATTTTGCATTACATTACATGTGTAAGAAATGTGTATCCATTTATTGTCTATTCACCAGGTAATCCTCTTAATTGGAAAATAATGCAGTTCTTGATTAAATTGCTCATATTTAAAGGTGACCTATCATGCAAAATGCACTTTTGTACGTCTTTTATACATGAATATGTGTCCCCGGTGTTCCAGGGAACTCACCAAGTGTCAGAAAAAGACGTACAAAAGTGCATTTTGCATGATAGGTCACCTTTAAATATGANTATTCTGCTCTCTATTAAAGTACCCTTTCACACCTCCATTGCACCGCCTCCGGCTCCCTATCTCTCGGCACTACACTGGTGACTCCGATGCGTCTTGAGAAGTTTCTGGGACGGAACCGAACACGGCAAAAGGAACACAATTTTCTTTCTCGAAATGCCGGGGATGATGGGAGTCGTCCGTGGCGGCCACCGGCACGCGGACTGAGGCTCGGTGCGCACCCCGCGGAATGGCTGGGGATGTTACTCGCCATTCCCGCATCGGCCTTCCGGCTACGGGGAGACCGTGCATGACCTGCTGGGTCGACCTGCAAACCGATGCGGGAATGGCGAGTAACATCCCCAGCCATTCCGCGGGGTGCGCANTAATGCTGGAGGATTTTCGAGCTCAACTTTATCTGCGTTCGCCATTTCGACAGTTCCTCAAACAACTGACTAAATTTGAACGCATCCCTGTGACCAGCTCTCATAATATGCCTCTCGTCCAATTAACAAGCCGTTAAGGACAGAGAGTGAATACCGGTGAATACACATAATATACAGAGATGCTGTATGAGAAACCAATGTGAGTTTGGAAAATTGCACAATATAAATCTATTCTAGTAGACCTCAACAATGGAATTATGATCAGTAGAAATGGCCATGACATGGGACCTTTAATATAAATGTGTATCCAAGGATGGTCCTGACCTGTTTGCTGCCTTAGGCAATATTTAAGCCATATTAAGATATATTAAATAGAGAAAGGTGTATTTTACTTTAATGGTTACTTTAATGGTGACCAAAACGTTTGAGACCCACAGAGATAACTTAGACTAAAGTTAACTATCTAAACCAGGGATGGGCAACTGGCGGCCCGGGGGCCGCATGTGGATTTTGGCGAAACAAGTTTAATATTCTAAAAAGCAAGACTTTGTTTATTTGAAATCAGATGAAAACAAACTTTCACGGACCCTGCTGTGTTATCTATGATTACTATACGCTTTTCATTCATAATTTCAGCAGGTGGGGGAGCGGCGCTGAAGAACAGCAGAGTGCGGCTTGACAGGTGTCTGTGTTGACATTCCCCTTATTGTGTCTTAGGTTCAAGTTAGACAACTAATGTTTGGGTTAGGGTTCATGACTTCATGTGTATGTCATCTTAATGGTTAATCTTAATGCACACACATTTTCCGTGCTTTCCAATAGCTTAAAATAGTTGTATTCCACTGTTAAATAACCTGTTCAATACAAACATGCCAAAATTAAATAACATTTATGTGAACTGATATTTGTTTAGTGAGCTAATTAGAGGATGTTCCCTGAAAGATTGTAAATGATCAATGAAGATGTCAGACTTAGTATATTTGTTAATAATTACATACAATACATGGAATTTGTGTGTGTGTTCCAAGTGAATCTGTGGCCCCCTGGTGGACAGTACATAAATGATGTGGCCCCCACTTCCATCCAAGTTGCCCATCCCTGATCTAAAGACTCAGAGAGTCCTTTACCTCACCTGAGCTGAGGTTATCTCCTCCACATTGTTCTAGAAACAGCTTCTTATATCCGTTAGCGCAGCTAACTAGCACTAGAAGCTAACAACAACATTCACCGCAACCCGTGGCCTTACATCCATGCCCGTGGCGTCTGTCGTTTTCCAACCCGGTTTAGATTTGACCACACCCACTCCCGCATTAACGTAACTCTGCGTGACCGCGTCATTGAAGTATAAAGAGAACGTCCCAAAGTTAACAAAGCTGAAGTAAAATCTACTCTAGCTTGGAACAAAACTATATGGATTGTCAATCAGTCAGTAAAAGTGAAAAACCCTTCAGCAGTATGCAGCAAGAGGTACACGTTGTATCCTCTTGACAATGTTGGAGAGTAACAAAGTACATAATACTTAAATACTGTACCTCACAACAAATTAAATACAAGCTATTAAGCTACATATTGGTTTCTAGTTTATTATTTTTAAATTAATTAGTTACATTTTATTTTATAAAACATCATTTGAAAAAAATATATACACTTTTCCACCAGGGAGGAATCAATTCCTCCTCCTATTTATACCTAAAGGGGGATTTGAACCCACATTGATTCCACTCATGTCAGTTAGTGTCACTACACCATCCTGTCCCAAGTTAATAGAGACAGACTAACATACAGAAAAATAAACTACATTTCAGCTGATGTAAGTAAGAAAGAAGCATCTGCTTAAAGTGGGATTTTACCTACAGACTGCAAAGCACTTTCTCTTCCAGACAAGCTATGAGAAGACAGAAGAAGACTGTGACACCTTGAACATGTTTCAGTTCGGAGTGATCGGAGTAACTAGTCCCTTAACAAGTGAAAAGTAAAGCATGAAACATACAGCCTTCTGGTAGCTCATGTTGTAGTGAAACAACTTTGCAGTTCACCCCAGCTGAGTTTTTCTTCTGTCAACTCTAAAAGGACTGTTTCAGTAGGTGTCTTTAATTGTGGACAACCTGTCTAAAATCTTTTAGGAAGTAGAGAAGAAAACATTTTTAAACAACTCTTCTAACTTGTGATCTTGCATATCTCAGCTCAAATGTAGGTCCTTGCTCTCTCTGGCGCCCTCTCCTGCGGCTGGGATGGTGCAGTGGCAGCCGACAGCGCTGAGAGGACACGATGCGGGTTCAAGAACCGCCGCAGGTATGCCACACAAGAATAAGTGTGTGAATGAAATGTGCAAGGTTTCAAGGGTCTGCTTCAAATAACAAATACAGGGGAAACAATGTGGTCAAAAAAAACTTGCGTATTTCAACTTGCGAATTTCCGTATTTCCACTTGCGAATTTTTCATCATCGAATTTCAACTTGCGTATTTTGATATTTCCAATTTCAACGTGGGAACTTGCGAATTTCTGAATTTACATAATCGACTTTCAACTTGCGAATTTCTGAATTTCAACGTGGGAACTTACGAATTTCTTTTTTTTTAAATATTGTGTTCCTCATATAAAGGAATTTGGTTCAAGTAGGCCTACAAAGCAGGAGTCAATTAGAGAGGCTACTTATTTATATGTATTTATTGATTTATGGAACAGTGATTTAAATTACACGGTTAGGGAACATTTGGGATTGACTACTAATTGCTTTTAGTTTAAATGCATTTGAAAAAAGCAACGTTCTTTTTTATACAATGTTCATGAATAGACAAGTGATGTGGAGAAACTAATGTAAAGGCTTTGATGTCACTTTATTTCATATACAGATCAAGACTGACATCTGCTGGCCAAGCCCTCAGTCTACATACTGTTTCTCATCCAACAAACATGGGCATAACTCATCCACTCATTTGTGTATGGATTAAACAAACTATAACTCCAAGCTTATGTTTGAAGCAAATAACCCACAAGTATGTATTTAATAGGCAGATATGAAACGGTTATCTATTAACATACTTTTGGCAATAAATAGTTTTAGTTTGAGATACTTGGAGGCTCCAGTTGTTAAACCTAACTTTATGTCCAGCAGCTCTGTAAATCTGTTTTAATGAACATCCTTGTGGGATCTTCTCTGGTCTCTAGCAAAGAACCTACTGTTGCATACTTTTGTCGACTAACCTAGAACAGAAAAAAATGCAAAAAAAACACATGCTACAAGCTGCAAGTTCCCAAGTTAAAAATGTGCTGATGGAAACGCATAAATGTGCAAGTTGAAATGCAGAAATTTGGCAAGTTAAAATTCAGAAATCCCAAGTCGAATTCTATATTAGTTAATTATTTGAGTCTGACCAATGAAACCACCCTCAGTATTGATAGCAGACACTAACTTTTGCATAATGACATCGGAGACTCTTTTCAGTGTGCCATACCTGGCTGGGCTTGAACACGTATTGTTTAGTCTCAGCGCTGATGTTCTGTATCCCTGCCACTGCACCATCTCTCCCTCAGGTGAACAAGGACAACAACAGATAGAAAGAAGCTTAATTTCACCTGAGATATAGATATTCAAAAATTCCAAGTTATAGAACCAGGTTTAAGTTTTCACTGTGTTTATTCAGCAGCCCAATTAAAGCATAAACATATTTATTTAAATACTAATGTTAGTGAGGCATGTCTGAGACAGGGTTTGAACCAACATGAATGCCTCTCTTTGATGCCAGTCAGTGTCATTGCCACCATCCCCACAACAGGTTGATTCCTAACCAGAGATGAAAACGAGCTTAACTTCAGCTGAGATTCATTTCACAAGTTAAACATTGATACAACATTTGTACATGTTTGATTGACCACAGTATTTGAAATAACAACATATTGATCACAATAATTGTTTTTTTGAGTGATGCAGCTGAAGTGAGGATTGAACCCACACTGATTTAACTTTGCAATGCGAAACGGAGTCACTACCACTGAACCATCCTAACACAGGATTACCACAGAGAACACTATGCTAGATTTCTGCTGACATAAGTCCTTATTGATTGATTTGTAGCCACAACATTCAGACTGCAAAGCTCTGACTCTACAATATGAGCTATCAGAGGTTTGGGGAAATTGTACAAAGAAGAAGAAGAGTTTGTGTTTTTACATGCTTCAGTTTTCACTCATTAAGAATTGTTCAAAGTTGTTCATATATTGAAATTTGGTTCAGGTTAGGGAGCCTATTAAAAAAGAACTAACTAATTAAATGTGCTGCTGTAGAAGGATAAACATCAGCTAATTGCATCTTGGCAACCTAAAAGCTATTAAAATAGCCTACTATTTTTAAAAGTTTTATGATGTGATTTTTAATGAAAAAATGTGTGTATAATTAATTGAAGTCGTAGGTTTAGGTTTTTCTGCACAGAACAAGACTGCCATCTGCTGTCTAAAACATAGGTATATACTACTGTGTCTCATATATCAAACACACACATGCTTGCTGACATTTGAGACGTAAAAAGCACGTCATTGTAGCTTAACTCAAATCAAGACTGCAGAAGAAAGTTGTTGAAGTTGTTTTAAAAAACAAAAACTCATTACGTGTGAGGAACTCTTACCAGAGCTGAATGTGACACCCCTCTCTCGGCCCATTGGTTCAGTCCAGTGGCCTCGAACCCGGAAGCAGTAGTAAATATTTACATTGCTGTCAGCTGACTTTTTTTCACCTGACTGCAATTTACAAAACCTATACAGACTTTTTTTATATTGTAACTGTTATGTATCACCATTTAATTAACATATAGGCTATGTTAATGACTGATCTGCTGAGTAACTCTTTCGTTTTCACCCTTAGCAGCTAGTTAGCTTATCATTTGGAACAAAGTGGTTAGCATTTAGCTGTTGGAGCTAGCTGCTAAACAAGAGACACAGCTTTGATTTGACACCTTAAATTAACGTGTCTCAAAAATGGACAAGATT